GCTGGGCAGCGCTTCGCACAGTTCCACTAAACATCGCTGACCGCGACTGGTTGGAACCAAGAGTTTACGCTTGAGGCCTGAGCAGTAACACTACAGACGTTTGTGTGTGGTTTGCAAAGGCCACGATTCAGTACTATTGTATAGCATCCATCCTATCCCTTCCTTTTCTGGTTATAGTCCTTGAGTAGCGATATGTTGCAATACCGGGGCAGCGTCTGCGCTGCAGTCGGGCAATACGCCCTGAAGAGACCTTGGTTCGTGTCAGAACGCTAGCCACGGGTGACTGTCCGTTCATAGCGCGCATCTCCTCCTCCACCGCAGCCCGAATCCGCCCCGCGTTGGGCTTGTCGCTCATTTCGTCAACTCTTGATGTGTCGACCGTACAGAATAAGGGATCGCTGCGGCTCGGCAGCGTCGCGCGTTGCCCGGCGTAGCTACCCGCGAGTCGCGACCTTGCCCGCCTAAGCCGCTTCGCGCGACGTCCACATATGACGCACTTGGGCTGTTCTGCGTCGCAGCCAATGCCGCGATTGCTTCAAGGTTCTCGTTCGTCTTGGCGCTTTCGTCCTCTACACGTTCATTCATCGCTTGTAGCTCTCCTTTGACAGCCTGTAGCTCGCTCTTGACCGTTTGCAGCTCCGCGGTGACCATGCGAAGCTCTGCCTCAACGTTCTTGTTCCATGCTTCTGACTTCTTCCACGCCTCGAACGTGATCTTGATCGCTGCGTGTAGCTCTTTGATCTACTTGCCCATCGTCAGGAGCAGCCCTTTATCGTCGTTCTCAACGGGCTTCGCGCGTTCCTTGGCCAGGGTTGCGGCTCGAGTGGTCGCCTACCGGCCACCACCAGCAGTCTCGATCGCTCGGTCGATTGAACTTTCGGTTATCTCTTGGTTTGTCTGGTTCAGGCGTGATTTCGCAGATGGTTTTCGCGCCCTTCGCGATGGCAGGTCCTCGTCGCTCGCTACCACCACCTCCCTCGCGACGGTGACGGACGTCGAATCTGGCCTGAGATCCATCGCGTCGGGATGTGCGCAGAGTCGCCACGCGGTGGATCGTGCTAGTGCTAGTGCCACGTAGCGCGTTTCGATGTTTCTCGACAGCGCTCAACCCAACGACGTCGAATGATTCTGCACACAAACAAATGTCGAAAATTTGAGCCGCAAACCCAACTCCACTACAGTTCGTCGTGTTCCCTATGGCAAATACTTGAGCAGGAACATCTTATCCTTACGGACCCGATTCGGCTTCAACTGCGTTCGCGAGGACAGGTTTGCAGCAGCCGCACGATGGCTTCGCGCCCGTTCTGGGCGGCCAACAATAACAGTGTCCGGCCCTCCTTGTCCGCCACCTCGGTGTTGGTGCCACAGTCGAGGAGAAGCCGCACGACGGTCTCGTGCCCGTTCTCAGCGACTTACAACAGTGACGTCCTGCCCCATTTGTCTGCCGCCTCGGTGTTGGCGCCGTGGTTGAGGAGCAGTTGCACGACAGCCTCGTCCCCCTTCTCAATAGCCCACAATAGAGACGTTCTGCCCCATTCGTCCGTTGCCTCGGTGTTGGCGTCGCGGTCGAGGAGCAGCCGCACGACGGCCTCGCGCCCGTATAGGACGGCCAATAACAGCGGCGTCCTGCTACATGAATCTTTAGCGTCAATGTTAGTAACTTGGTCTGTACTTTCCATGATGCTTCCCAACGCCCCTACGACTCCATACCTTGACATCACGTGTACTAGACTGGTCCCTTCTGGTGGACAGTCATCAGAACGCTCCTCTAATATTCTATAAATACACACCCATTGTTCTGTTAGAGGGTTTGATGGTCCTGTGAAATAGCCCACAAGATCCTCTTGTGAGACACTTCCAGCATCACTTTGCTTCATGTGTGCCACCCATGAGGTCGTGGCATAGTGCAGGAAAGGAAAGCCACCACGCGTGTAGTCTGTTGACTGACGGGTTTCCTCCATTGACAAGTAGTGTACAGTAGCCATCCAGTACGGATATGTGTGCACGGGTGAAGCGTTCGTCTTCCTCCACATTCCGGATGACCCTAACAGCGGATATTATTCTGTACACGTACCCAACCTAGACGTTCGGGACGATGATGAGAACGGGCTTCATGGCACAGCTGTTGCACAGATCTTCGCCTTCATCCTTCGGGCCCTCCGTGCGGAACCGCCTCCTTCGTCCTGGCATGACGCTGCCGCGGCTCTTGGTACCTGGGCAGTAGAATACGACGACGTACTGAAGAGGATCCCCAAAACGGTGCGCAAGGGCAAGGAACCGCGCGCCTCTCCCCACCAATCTCAACGCTGGCGAGGATTTAAGCGCTCGCCGATTCGGACTCGCTCTCGGTGCAAGCAAGCCGACAGCAACACAAAGCATCGAAGCGATAGTGGTGACGACGAAGGAGTGACACCTCCTTCCCCGACTCCGACGCGATTATTCATACCGACGTAAAAGCTGTCACTAAGTCAATGAGGGCGGGATCGGACAAAACACAACCGCAACATGGCAAACGAGATCAGCAGCATAGCCAACCAAAACAGCAGAATATACAAGATCGTCCGTTTTGCACTCCGCAATGCCTCCTAGGAGTTTGCCAATGTATGAACACTGCCAGAATTTCCGGGACCATGGACATCAGCACCTCAGTCGACTCGAGTTCCTCCAACTCATCCGTATCCAGCTCGCTGAAGACCGCGGCCGTGATGCTGATGCCGTACCGCTTTACCTGTCCGGCTCGATCGGTTCACTCTTGAGAGTCTCGGCCTGGCCCGCCTGCAGCATGAGAACGAAGTGCATGAGGGAGGATGTTAGACAAGCGACGGAAAGGCGGTTTTACGAAAGAACTAGAATCCGTCGTAGAACGTGTTTCAAAGTGTATAAAACAGCACGCTCAGAGGCTGCTATCTATGCCGCCAAGATGATACAACGTATCTCAGGAATGACCAAGAGTTGGGCTAATGTTAAAGAAAATGGACCAAGGAGGAACTAAAGCAAAGAGACCACCACAAACTAATCACTCTGAAGCCATGAATCTCCCCGTCTTAGCGCTCTTTCCTCTCTAGTACGGGACACCCATCCCTCCACCTCGGCCAAAGCACCTGAGGGCGAGTCTCTGTTTGCTAGGAGGAAGGAAAAAATGTCGGCAGGACTGAATTCCAGCTCCGGCACAAGGGCTGCAAATTGACCTGCCAGTCTCCGGACTTCCTCATTGCTATCTTCTCGGTT